GTCCTGGCGTAAGTCTACCAGTTATAAATAATTTAAGAAGTATGATTGAAGAAAATGCTGCTAAGGATATAAAATTACAATTTAGAATCCAGTGGATGAAATGTCATTGAAAAAAGATATCGAATGGGACGGAAAGCGGTATCATGGATATGTAGACTTAGGATTGAACAACGAAGAATCTGACAAAGCAACTTATGCATTAGTATGTTTCAATGGGCATTTCAAGACCCCAATCGCATATTATTTGATAAATAGTTTAGCCAGATAAGCTAAAGCAAATATTTTAACGAATGTTTTAATAATGTTACATGAAACCTACGTAATCATTCTGTATTAAAAGTGCCCGCTTTGGCAGCTTCAGTGATGAAAGTTTTTATACAGCTTTCATTTAGTTTGGCAAAACTTGCTGTTTGTACCACATCGGTTAAATGGTATGTTGCAAATTTAAAGCAGTACTCTTCTAACTCCTAGAGAAAATAAGTGGGCAATACATGTGAAGGACGTACAGCAAGTACTCGTTGCATATTTACCTTGAAATTGTGTTTCATACTTGCATCATAAAACAATAGTACATTTTCTACTGTAATCTTATTTCTTATCATCTGCAGACATCGTCTTTTTAATAGATCCTCGGAATAGGCCTCAGCTAGGATTGAAAGTTCTGTCAAGAAAAGAATAGTATTCACGAAACATATTGACCAATGTCCGTAAGAATTAGGCATGTTATACCTAATGCATCTTCTTGAGGTAGGTCCGCGACTTCGTTAGTGTACAAATATTTTAAAAAACTTTTGTACACGTCGTAGGAATATTGTTCGTGCTTTATAACACTGGGAAAAAAACGTCAAAATTGTATTTATTATACCATATGGTCGTTTCGAGAAAACTTACCTTTGACTGTTTTCCGTCCAGTGCTCTTGAAACATGGTCCTAAAATAATGAGACCGTATTTTCAGTACCACTTTGTGTACGTGAATTGGTTTCCCATGTACTTGAATAATTAAATCGCTGGTACTCTGCAAATTGTATAGCAGGATCATGCAAAAAACAGTAAATGCTTAATAATCTTAATATCTTCCAATAATTACGTACTGCATCATCGAAAGCTTCTTCCATGCTATCCATTACATTCGTTTCTTTTTCATCATTGACAATTAACAAATGACAGTATATTTCACTGCTGTAAAATGCGAAAGAATCTTGTAAACATCTTAAAGAAGTAAGGGTTGGGACATTAATATCCTTATCCACACAATAGCCCCATATAAATATTCGATTAGTGTCACTCATCGCTACACTCATGTTCTGACACCAACATGTGGCTATGTCGTACACTCTCCCCATTTTCGGTTGTTTTAACTATGGAAATATTCATTAATTTCGAATATAAGTAAAACCCATGAATCTGAGCATTTACTTTCTGTGGCTTGGAAACGCTTGGTGTTCGTTTGATACTTCTGATATGTGGAATACCGAGTTGCCCGTGGTCATTAGCACCCCAAACGTAAAGACAACCCTTGGA